TAAGTAGGTAAGTAGGTAAGTATGTAAGTAAGTAAGTAGGTAAGTAAGTAGGTAAGTAGGTAAGTAGGTAAGTAGGTAAGTAGGTAAGTAGGTAAGTAAGTAGGTAAGTAAGTAGGTAAGTAGGTAAGTAAGTAAGTAAGTAAGTAGGTAAGTAGGTAAGTAAGTAAGTAAGTAAGTAAGTAAATAAGTACGTAAGTACGTAAGTACGTAAGTACGTAAGTACGTAAGTACGTAAGTACGTAAGTAAGTAAGTAAGTAAGTAAGTAAGTAAGTAAGTTCCGTGTTTACGGCCATTGGCCCACGCCACATCACATAAAACACTCATTTGATAAGTAAAGTTTCCATAATGAATAAGTACTGGTTGTTCACATATCTCTTATTATTGGTCAAACATTGCATATTTCTGTCACTCACTGGGAGTGATTAATAATTACCTTTGATGGACAAAGTGTGAACAATAGAAAATAAAATGAAATTTGTCTTCAATTTCATGAGAGTTACACCTCTCACATAAGAGCGAAATAGTTAATTTCTACGGATAGAGATTCTTATTTAAAGGAAGGCTATGGGTTTTTTACAAAGCTATGACTCTTCTGCTCCAATACCGTGAGGCATGGTTGAAAGACTATAGTAACATGTATCGTTTAACTACGCCTAGCTGGGGTTCGTTTCTTCCTGTTCATTAAACTTTCATAACTGCCCAAGCTTGAGTTCCTATATAATAAACTATGAAAAGGTATAAGCTACATTGACGAAAAAACCCACATAATTTGATTTCAAAGATTGTGAGTCTCTACTTCACCGATCAGCATTGTTCGGTGCTAGTCAGTTGACTAAAATGGATAGTAAAATGGATGTTAGTCAACGGCATGACTCCTTACACATTTTGGAGATGTTAGTATTTCTCCTTTTTCATTTTCCTGGAGCTATTTTAGACAGGCATTTGATTTCACTCTTGTGAGAATTGGGCGGGGATCACCTCCGTGACTCATCAGAATACACCTCTAGCCCGTCACCGACGTGTCCTCGACTTTTCTGCTGGGTTGAATGGATGCCGGGTTAGAAATGTACGTATATCCAGAAAGTCATTTGTGTTACAGAGACTTCACATGGTAGGAGCATTTTTTCAACCCCCTTACACTTAACCCTAACCCTAACCCTAACCGATACCTCCCTTGCCTTGACAACGTTCGATACCTCCTTGCCCGTTGATTATTCGATACGACCCTTTTGTTCTGTACATCACTGGGTGCCATTTTTAGATATTCTGTAGATTCCATTCCTTCCCAGCTGTAATTATTCGATACTTCCTTGCCTCGTATATTTAATGCAAACCTGCATACTGCCTGTCATTATTCGATACCTCCCTGTCATTAGTACATACCTGTTTTACCTTGTGATTATTCGATATGTTTCCAGATCCTTATTTGATACATCCCGTATCTGTCATTACTCGACACCCTTTAAAATTCACAACAGCTCATTATTCGATACCTCCTTTACGGCCATTTATCGATACCACCTTTGCCTAGCCACCCTAGCTATCGTTATTAAATTTGGATACCGTCTTTGCCTTATCGTTATCAATGCCGTAATCAATTCGATTTCCCTTCATCTGGTCTTTATTTGATAAACCTCGACATCTCCTTAATTTTAATAATTAGTCGATACCAATTTGAAACTTTCAATATCAATAACATTGTAAGGTTATAGTAGAGAGTTTTTCTGGTTATAGTTATCACCGTTTAAGATAAAAGATTCATTAATTAATGTGACAATTATTTTACATGTATTCTGTATTATATAATTCCCAGGTGTCACCTGAGGTATCATCATTGGACACTGGTCTAGTTATTCGATTTTGTGGTGATTGTTTTCGACATATTTAAACCAACACCAAATTTACTGAAGTAGCAAAATGCCGCCAAAGTTTCAAGCACAAGACAAGAAGTGAAGTGACAAAGGACCACCTAACATGTCGTGCTTATTTATCAAATATCTCCATTCGTTTATGTAGTCGATGTACTAACAATTATATTATATTATGGTTTTGCTTAAAATATTGTTATCTGTAGTTTTGTTCTTTTTGAAAAATGTGCTTTCTACGGGCTTAATAAGGTTTAAAACCTTTCCTAATATTTCGGCATTTAAAATTTTAGCTAGATTTGTCATTCACTTATTAAAGCGGCTTTTCTGTTTTTCTGTTTACTGTTGTTTAACTAGACTTTTTAAGATAATTGTTTCCCTTACTCAAGCAGTTATTTCGGGTTGCTGTTACCTACTTTATATAAGGGGACTCCTCTGGTATTGTGACGGAGTGTTCTACCTTCAAAATCAACTGTGTTTTGTTTCTTTTTAAGTCTTAAACATTTTACTTGTGAGGTGATGTTGTGTTCTTTAAAAAAAGCTTTTAGGCCAAACGATCGGTTAATGAGACTCGTGGAGCATGGGCTGGAGATGAGGGGAAATGACTGAGGAAATGGCTTTTTTATAGAATATTTTACAAAGATTTATGGAACCTGGAGCCTTTATCCAAGTATTCCATTTATTATTATATTATGTGAACTCTCCGTCTCTTCTGCCTATTCTCCGCTGCTTTCTCTCTGTGTCTTTTTCTCTCTGTCTTTCTCTCTGTATCTTTCTCTCTCTCTGTCTACCCCCCCCCCTCTCTCTCTCTCTCCCTCTCTCTCTCTCTCTCTCTCTCTCTCTCTCTCT